CTACATCAAAAGTATAAAGTTTCAAAATGTTGTCTCGATAACTACTGGTAGCTTTGTATGTGGCGCTCTCCCTTAAACTGACCTAACGAATCACGATAATCATCCATATTCGACACCGATACAACGTACTCACGGTCCCTCTGGTACGTAGTGCCAATCATAATCTGACCCTCCGTGTAATACGCTCATAGTTGTGGTTATATAATGATCTAAAACAAGTTTCGCGTGGAGGGTTCCCCAACTGAGAGGGAAGTGATTGAATAACGGATTTCCTTCAGTTGTGGGACGTTACACATAAATACTGGATGATTTCCAGCACGCACGGTATGCGCATCGACAAGTAATTTGGCATTGAATAATTTCTGCCAGGGTGTACGCATAGCAAACTCTCAATTTTTACTCTACTATTAAAACTTACTAATTAAAAGCTACGTAAACATAAAGAAAATTTTGTAAATTCGTTTCTCTCTCTCTGTCTCTCTCTCGTAACACATTTTTATTTAAAGTTACTAATTAAAAGCTACGTAAACATAAAGAAAATTTTGTAAATTTGTTTCTCCCTCTCTCGTAACACATTTCAGGATTAAGTAAAATTGACCACGTGTTAATATGTTTGTCGTGTATATTTCACTGTTTATCGCGTGTTATTCGAGTACAGTATTTATTTGTAGAATAATGCGTGTATCACAACTACCGTTATGGCAATTAAATCGGAGTTGGTAATTTCGACGAAAACATATTGAATGTACTATTTTCCTATAATGTGCAATGTGTTACGAATCGATATTACACTTAATTTACAACGCATCCTTTGCAAGGAACGAACTGTTTGGTACGTACATATTTTCTTTAAATTATACTACAATTATTACTTAATAATTATGCTTAAATTATTTTTTCTAATCGAAATTGAAATAAATCGCATCTGAATATTATGTGCTATCTCATTCTTTATGCCTTCCAAAGGAATATCATTTATCGATTAAATAAATCGTAACGACAGCGTTAAAACAGTTAATTGAGCATTTATATACATATTTTGTTAATATCCCAACTTAATTGCGTTTCATAAAAATGCATTTAATTCAGTCGATAATTCTGTTCTCGTTTGAATCATAGAAATAAACAAAACCGAACGGTAAAGTTCACTACCACCGATCGAACCGACAAACAGAATCGAAAATTCGAGAGTTTAATACCCAAAGTTAATCTAATGCTTCAGGAATGTAAGGTCAGCGAATAATAATAAAGTACTCGGTTGAAAATGCGTGGATAAATTCGTCTATTTTATCTCGCATTAACTTTAAAAATTCATTTCACTCTTTTTTTATACGCAAATGCATTTTTCGTCGTAAGCAAAATTTCGATTAACGAACAGCTAAAACTGCTGGAAGACATAAATACACGTGTGATGTCATGTTAAATTACAGGGAAAAGTGTCCAACGTATGCGTTGTTCTTACACAAAAACACTCGTATCGTCTACGAATAAGTGTACGTGATCTTTAATATTGGTATGAAAATTTCCTATTCTCGTAAACATATATATCAGCAAAACCGAAGGTGTTGTTATTTGTTTTTTTTTGTTTTAAAAGAAAAGATTCAATACTTTATTAGAGATCAAGCTTCTTTATGCTGTTCGCTGGATAATATGAATACCGCTATCTGTGTGCACAGGCGAAGACAATTCGCCAACTTTCAAGGCAAACGCTGCTTGTTCGAAAGGTTTTTGCATGGCGCCTCGACTAAATGGTCCCAAGTCTCCGCCTCGCTTAGCAGAACTGCAATCGCTATATTTCGAAGCGAGTTCGGCGAACGTTGCTTTCCCAATTACAATTTGTTCTCTGTAAGCTACGGTTACAAAAATGTCCAGTGATGAATTACAACGATAGAAAACAACTAGAAGCCTCATAGATTTTAGGACTTACATTTAATAAGTTCGAGAGCTTCTTCCTTCGATCTCGTAATGTTTTCTTCTCTCCAAGAAGAAGGCCGGCGAGAACTCGAATGCTTCACCAACAAATGAGAACATTGTACTTCCTCCGGGCCGTCCCCTTTGTTATTCCCGGATGGATCCGCTGGTTTGTCTGGCCTGTCCCACTGGCTTTCTTTAGTATAGATATTTAAATAGTAATGCTGTCCTGCAACGAAAAGACTCTGCGATTACGATTGTATTAAATATGTATATAGAGAGAAATGAAGCGTAATTGGGATATGAGATTCCGAATACAAAGAAGATAGTAGCGTTTACTGTTTACGAAAAAGAAGTTACTTAAACATTGACTGTAACGGAAGGGTACTTTTTAAGTTTGCTCAAATTCTGACAAGAGAATGCAACACCTGTGATAGAACCCAACACCATAGCGGTTCTATAAACTTTTTTAGACCTTCAGGGAACCGAAACGTACAAGACTAGAAACGTTACGATTCCTCTGCACTTGTAACAACATTTTTACCAGGAGAATGTTAGTTTGATGAAAAAATGCCGGCGGTATAATCCACACTATCGACTGCATGGCAAAAAAATGTTGTTTGTACGGTAAAACGATAACAATTTCAACAAATACTTGTAATAGTATCTTCCTATGTTATTCGTCAATCGTCAGAAATAAATTAACGTACCGGTAGATCTGCTCAAACGTTTTTCCCAACCCGCTGGAAGTTCCTCGTCCGCCATTGTTATCCAATATTTTTCTATCTTGACTCACGTCAAACGATTTCGCTCGGTTTCACTGCATCTAGTTGTTTGCTAATCTGTGCTTTCAGGTTAGGCAACTCTCTTGATAAACCTGAAATTGCGGAGGTTAGAATTTTTCCCCATTTAGAGGTTAGGATTCTTCTCATGTAAACGAGAAGAACCTATCGACGCATGCGCATGAAAAATACGTAAAAATTAGAAATAACAATCAAAAATGTTGTAACACCTTGAAAGGGTTGGTTCGGGAGGTGATTTGAAACCACTTTTTCCTTAGCGAAAATGTTATCCGAGGCTTCGTTGAGGAGATATTAAGAGAAAACATCGATCAATCAGAGCGCGAGTAGGCCGCGCTCTCCGACCAATCAAAGCGCTAGATGCCGGTGGAGCGCAGTCACCTAACGCGTAGCCTACTCGCGCTCTGATTGGTCAGGGAGCTCGGCCGCCTCGCGCTCTGATTGGTCGAGGTTTTCCATTAATATCTTTTCAACAAAGCTTCGAACAACATTTTCGCTAAGGAAAAAGTTGTTTCAAATCACTCCCTGAACCACCCTTTTTAATGACATCCAACATTTTTAGAACACCATGTATTTTTGTACCGTTTCGAACTTGGCGTGTCCATAATTCAAATATGGCGGGAACACTACTACATTTGAACATCCGTTGATGGAGATCAGGCCTCTTCCGGTCGCATAGCACACCGAGCAAAATGGGTACGTGATGAATCTAAAAATTATATTGTTTTTAAAGTTGAAAAACACGAGTTCGAGTATAAGAAAGCTTTGAAAATATTTTTGTAAATACGTTCGATTGTAATTTGCTTACGTGTAATTAGAAGTTTGCAAATGTCCATTTTAAATTGCGTGGAAAATAACGTGCTGTGAACATTGCTGCAAAATATTGAATGTTTGTTACAATTTTCACTAACGTTATATACACGTCATAAGTGATAATATACTTGGTTATACAGAGTGATTCTTCTCTGAGCAAAAATGAATTGACAAGGAAACTATTGACATTACATTAAATATTAACCTTGCTTCTAACCATTCGCAGGTAAGCCTCGTGGTCTTCGTACGGCACGTAAACACGTGAACCACAGACGTGATCAACGCTGGAACGACAAAGATTACAAGAAAGCTCACTTGGGAACGAGATGGAAGGCTAATCCATTCGGTGGTGCTTCTCATGCCAAGGGTATCGTCTTGGAAAAAGTGTACGTATACATTCCTCCATCCCATACACCGATATTCTCATCGATTCGACTTTCCAGAGGTGTAGAAGCTAAGCAGCCCAACTCTGCTATTCGAAAGTGCGTCAGAGTACAACTTATCAAGAACGGCAAAAAGATTACAGCCTTCGTACCCAGAGATGGTTGTTTAAATAACATCGAAGAGAACGACGAAGTTCTAGTCGCAGGATTCGGTCGTAAGGGTCACGCTGTTGGTGACATTCCAGGAGTAAGATTCAAAGTGGTGAAAGTTGCCAATGTTTCCTTACTTGCGCTTTACAAAGAGAAGAAAGAGCGTCCCAGATCGTAAGATCGTTGTAATGTATTTCTAATTGCACATATAAAAGATTTGTAAAGAAATGGAATGGTTTATTTATATCCTTACTGAATTTGCAAATAGACTGCGGATTTTTATGCATTTATAGATAAAAGATGTTTTAATTAATATTTGTATTGTAATAATAGCAGAGTAAAGTTTTTATTTAGCTTCACTGTTTGTAGGTATCTTAGCAAACATTTTATTTGCATAAAGATTCGCAGTATTCTTTTGATGATTAATTTAGGTACTGTACAGGTAGATTTAATATTTTCTATTTCATAAAAGTACAAATATATAGGTATTACCGTATGCTAATAATTTAATGACTATTACTACACGCGTATACAGCTTCTTCTATATCGACAACAACATCCTTGATAATTTTATTCAGCGGTGTGTTTATTTGACTCAACTGTTTCGGTATATTCGCGTTATATATTTCTTCTTTCGTTTGCAGAAACTAAAAACAAACTGATTAGTACATAACATGTTTCATAGAGTACGTAACAAGTATCCCAATATTTTAATACAAAACCTGCGTTAAAGTAGAGAAGTTCGAGCATATATCTTTTATATCATCATCCATAGAAGTCATAGTATTCTTTTGATTCTTTTCGTTTATTTCCTTGAACATTGGCCAGGACTCGATCGTTGAAAAAGCTTCTATAAACTTCTCTCTCTCCGCATTAAACAACAAATTTATATCATTTTCTTTTTCGTCACCCTTGTCATCCTCTTTCTCCTGTAATTTTACAAGATTTTACATTGCCTCAATAAAAATAAACTTTATTCAACGATACCATTGTTTCATTTCCCACGCATTCTCCCTTTTTAATTTCGTAATTAGAATTCGACTTTAGATTAGTCGTGTACTCTTTCAGATTGAGGTCCAGCAAAGATTCCGAACGGATCAGTTTCGATTCGTCGCCTGGATTTTCAAGAATACAATCCTACGATACGTAAAATATTGTTACATCCATAAATATATGTATCGAAAGTTCTCTTTACAGACCTGTATCATATCTTCTACAGACTTGTAAAGTACGTTATCCTCGTTATTAGATGGCTCTGCAACGTGTACACACTTTATAAATTCTAATAACAGTCTTAAGAAAGGAAGTTGCTCTCGTAGCGTACACTTTCCCTGCAAAACATCATTTTTTTTGTAACGGTAACTTTATACGATTCAAATAGAACACATACCAGCACGATGTTCCTGTTAGTACAGATCCCAATTTCAGAATAGTACTTGGAGAGCTTCGCTGCAAAATTTACATTAATATTCAATGAACCAAACCTGTTATTTAACGATACGTGGTCGAAATACAACGTCGTGTTTTATTTGTTATGAATACTGAACCTTCCAAGGCAGCGCCTTTTAAATTCTCCAACGTATTGGCTACCTTTGGAGATTTCTCAGTTAGGAGCCAAGATAACAAGGTAATACGATTTTCTCCACTGAGAACTGTCGCTTGTACATCTTCGCCAATCGCTGTTGTTATTTTAGGATAACGTATTTGCACTAAAGTATTGTAAATATCAGACATGATCTCTTTTGTATCATCCATCACATATACAGTTATTCGTAACCTCTTTTGAAGATATTTGTCTAAATTGAACGATAAACGATCTTTAAGCTTCTTTATAATTGAGATTATAATTCTAAATGGTAATAAAACTTTTCGAGACTTTTGAATAGCATTTGAATCAGTTCATTGCTGTGATTGTTTTGAATGAATGTAAACATCAAGAAAAGTTCCTAGGAAAGTCACTATGATCGATTTAGTAATCTAGTTATTACTATCCTAGTAACATTTCTATACTCAATTCTAAGTTCTTTATACTATTATTTTTAAAAGCACGATTAAGAATTTTGTAAACTAAATTATCTGTGTATCTTTCCTATACATGCATAAAAATCCGCAGTCTAGTTATTACTATCCTAGTAACATATCCTAGTTTTTTTTTAAATAAATTTATGCCCCATCCATTAGATAACCAATCGGTTTTCTGGATCGAAAGTGTATCAGGCTTTAAACAGGCCTTACGTCACGAACGTTTTTAAAGTGTAAATTCGATATTTGTAGTTGTCAAATCGGTCTATAATGGCTGGGATTAAAGGTTATTGGTCGTATGCTTGTCCGTCTATGCACGCAACATTTCTCGTTAGATTTAAACGAAAATTACATTTCCTGTACGAGTTCGACAAGAAAGTCGAATTAAAAATGATACGTCAAAACATAACCTTACTATTGTTTTTGTAACTCGAGATGTTTCTGTAAACGTACTGCCTGTGTTTACAAAATTTGTTTTCGATACAGTCTCGCGAAAGAATTTCAATTAGCAGACAATATGTTTATATTTTCACCGAAAGAGCATCGTTATAAATTTGTTTACTATCGTTTTTAACTATACTTTTTAAAATATTTTAGGTAAAAGAAATTCCCCACTGTTCTTGCAAATCAGAGACGAATATTGCGATAAAGATTTCGTGTAACATGATTGTTTATAATTTGAAATTGAAAGTGATATATCTACTATTTATATAAATTATTTTTGTTTTTGTTCCATGCGTTTAATGGGCTCCTTTAACGAACAGCGTAAGTGCTGTAAAATATTTATATAATTCATGTGGTGCGTATTAATGTAAATGTTATAGAAAAGAAACCCTTTTATAGATTAGTAATTTTGGCATTCGCTGGGTCTGTCGGTATGACGTTTGTCATACTCAGCTGCGCGTTACCTGCATACAAGTAAGTACCAATGTTACATTTTAATCGATAAATCTGGTACTACATGGAACAAATTGCGTTATACAAATATATATTTACGTTAAAGTGATTAACTTTCATAATGTATTATCTCTAGAGTTTGGTGGCCATTTTTTGTTGTGTTATTCTATGTATTGGCACCGCTTCCGACCATAATCGCACGTCGCTACACAGATGATGTAGGAAATACTGCCAATCCGTGTTTGGAATTGGCTATATTTATAACTATGGGGTTCGTTGTGTCATCTTTTGCTCTTCCTATTGTATTAGCACGATCTCCAGCTCACGACCCAGTGGTACATTCAAATTATACATATATTTCTATTCTGCGATTAAGCTGTATTTTATTTCTTTGTATGAAACTTAATCGGATAATATTGCAAACGTAGAAGACAAGAGTGCTTACGGTACAGAATGAATAATTTCAGATACAATGGGGCGCTTGTTACTTGACTTTAGCAGGTAACGTTGTGGTATACCTAACTCTAATTGGACTTTTTGTAACCTTCGATATAGACGATATCGATTACAATACATGGTGAAATGTACTTGGTCATACTTATTTATTAATATTACATGGTAATTTGTCCAACTTTCTTTCATTCTGCTCGAATTTCTTTTCTATTTTTGTATACACGCCATTTAAACTCTTGCAGGTTTTTTTACAAGAGAAAAGGAAGGATGTAAATCGTACACAGCAGTGACTGACAGTTATCCGTTAATTCTAAGTCATCGCAGAATTTATAGTATACTATTTATACGATATAAATATTATTATAAACTGTCTATATTATAGTCAATACTAATGCTATCGCTCGGCGATTAAAGGTTCAATTTTTAATGGCGTAGATCTTCTCATAAACTTCTCTGAACGATATTAGGTGCACAAATTATAACGAAACACGTGAAATCTTATTAAACCTATGTTTTCGATAATAGCGATAGTATTAATAAAGCCACCATTCATTATGTTATACGTTATTCTTAAAACTTAATACTTATGAAATAAGAATTGTAGACTAATACTCTATAAATAATTTACAAATATTTTGTATATTGCTAATATAGTAGCTATGGTGAATAAAACAACAAACTTCAAGTGACAATGAAATGAATGTAAAACAATGATCGTCGCAATGTAAAAGAGATATAAATATATATACGTATACGTAAGAAAACAGAAATTTGTATAATTTTTGAATAGAAGTCGAGTTTTCCCCCCAAAATTAATAGTCGTAATACCAGTGGCGCCATCGATGGCAAAACGCGCAAGCTTGTAGCGAAAATAGTTAAAACTATCGCCGCTTTTATTTTTTATTTGCCATAAATCCATTATTAATACGATTGGTAACTTTGTAACGCTACAATGTACTAGTTAAATTTATAATTTCTATGAATAATTATTTAATTTAACAAAAATGATTAATCTTTATGTAGTGGCGCCATCTGGTAGCGACAGTGGGAACTATTTTCACTATAAGCTTCAGCATTTTGCCACCGATGGCGCCACTGGTATTTGAACTATTAATTCTGGCGGGAAATTTGAATGGCTCAATGACGTTTGTAATATTAGGTTGTCCCAAAAGTTTCTTTCGCTTTATTATTAAGTAATACATGCACAATTAATTTTGCTCTATTACTGTTACAACATGAATATCTATGAAATTAGATTGTCTATTTATATAAACACGACCACATAAAATAATTGAGTACAACTCGCGAAAGAAACTTTCAGGACAACCTAATAATAATGACTACAATGAAATTATAGTAACTGAATAATTTCCTAATAAAATTCTAAATGCACTGGCAGAACGAATGTCCTATTAGTTGTAGCGTCAACCGTAAAAGAAAAAAAAACGCAGAAAATATTATATAATGAAATTAATATCTTCCTGAAGTCGTTTTTTGTTTTATTGCCTTCGCCATGGCACGCTTTACACATTCACACCACGAATTAAGTTATGTATCTCTTGCGAACCAGATTTACACACTTTATATAAATTGTTCTTGTACAACGTATTACTTAATTTATGTACACATTAAACTACTAATAAGGCGGCGGTTGATGTTGATAATGTTGGGGCGGTTGACTCAAGTGTCGTTGCAAGTGGGTCACCAATTGCGGAGTCGGTTGTTGTCCACCAGCGTTGCCCTGTTGTTGCTGTTGCTGCGCTTGCTGCTGTTGCTGTGCTTGCTGCTGTTGCATAGCGAGCATTTGTTGCCTCATACGTTGTTGATTTATCGCCTGTTGCTACGAGTGAAACAATCGAATTATTATGCATTTTTATTATTTAATTCTTTTGTCATTTTTTTTTTACTGGCATTTTTATTGTACGGGATGGTATGAGTAGACGAGATGTTATGCAGTTATAAGAAACTTGCAGTAACTTTCCTAAGTTGCATTCATGATACAATATTTGCTATAATATGCATTTATAGGAAGTTTGAATGTGCAAGACGTACAAAATGTAAACAATATGCAGGAATATAAAAAAGATTGAAAGTAAAGTACATGTTACAATATTTGCTATAATATGCATTTGGAGGAAATTTGAATGTGCAAGTTAAATTTTTGTAGGCACGTTTAAAAAGATTTTTGCATAAAGATCCGCAATGCAGTTACAAGAATCTTACTTGTTGAAATTGTTGATTTTGCTGCAAACCAACGTTGGCAGTGCCTACTCCGGTTACTCCAACCGCGCCTGGCTTTCCACTAGCTTGCCTGTAGGGCGGAGCTGGTTGATTTTGGACTCCGCCTCCCATTGGACCCATCGTGTTCATGGTAACATTCGGTGCCTGGCGTGTAAAAAAAATGTTATTACATTCATCGAGAAGTGTTTTCGAATAAAATCATCGTTTCGTTTCTTTTCCTACTGCACCTGAAGATACGGTGGCCTGGCAGCCCCGGGTTGCATCCGTTGGGGTATGTACTCTTGGCCTCGTTGAGGTCCCATCATCTGTTGCTGATTGGAAAACATCATGTTCTGCTGCGGGTTCATCAAACCTTGTTGTTGCTGCTGTTGCTGCAACAGCTGTTGTTGCTGCTGCGCTTGTTGTGGCGCCTGCGGCTGTTGCTGTTGCGGTTGCTGTTGGGGTATCATCTGTTGACCGCCGTATCCTGCGTAATTTTGATTCATGCCTGTGAAAACAGCACGCATATAATGCGAGGACGCTGGCGCTATTCGGTAACTGTTGATTACTACTATCGATCCAAGGGCGCAAGTAACTAATAAAACAGATAAGAAATAACAACGTACGGTTACCTTGCTGCATTCCAGTGTAGATTCCTTGTTGCTGGGGCTGTTGTTGCTGTTGCTGCTGGGAGGCGAACATTCCTTGCTGCGGATTCATATTCGGTGCCCCGTGCTGAGCTCTCAGCTGTTGCCGGATGAACTGCTGCCTCTGCATACCTTGGAAAGCACCCGGAGCACCGACAGGCGTGGCGTTCGGTTGTTGCTGGGAGCTCATCAACTGATTCGAGGGCAGACGCAAACGTAGCATGTGAGAGAGCGCTTGCTTCGATTGATTCATCCCTGGTCTGTCGTATCTTTGTCCGACGGGAGTCGGTGGCAATTGTTGGCCGTATCCGTACTGCTGGGATGGCGTGTGGGTTTGTTGGTTGGTGTACCATTGCTGCTGATGCTGCGGCGGTTGACCGGTGAACATTCCAGGCTGTTGTGCAGCGGCTACTTGTTGATTTCCGAACGCTATCTGCTGTAGTTGATTCGGTGGTTGCTGGAATACGAGAAACGAAGGAATGTAAAGAACAGGATCAGTATCGAGTTAGGTGGATTATTTCCAAGGATTTAACACGTTGATCGCCACGTCACCCATATGTGGGTGACGGTGCGTTTCACTGAAGAGGTAACAAAAATTAATTCTGAAAGTTAAGCTTCAAAGGAAATGAATTTAAATGAAATTCTCTAATAGTCTGAATAATATTTAATCCTAGGAGAAATGTTCAAGAATATTTCTCTGGCAGTGAACGTGTTAAACAGACCTGAATTTGCTGTGATACAGGCGTAGTAGGTGTAGCAGCTCCTTTGTTCTTCCTGTTCCTCCGGGTCTTCATAGCCTTGCCCTTGCCATTGGTGACAGCAGTACCAATGCCACTGTTGCCGATGCTGCCAGTTACCCTTCCAGGAGAGTCGATACTCATGGGAGTGTCAGCCTTTCCAGGCTCGGACTCCTTCTTGTCTGGCTCCAAGTCTTCAGGGGGTAAAGGCGGAGGGTCCAAGTAGTGGCTGGGTAGCTTGATCTGACTGTGGGTGTGATAACGCAACAGTTTATGGGCATTTTGGTAGGTGAGAGGTTTACGTTCCAGTTTAACCGCTCTGAACCAGGCCCAGGATATCGGTGCTGGATTCTTGTGACCTTCCAGCACTTCCCACGCTGACACTCTTTGGGAATCGCATACTTGCAAGCCCTGATAAAGCACGTTTATTAAACGAATTAACTGTCTCGCACTTTTAACCGTTTGACCGCAGGGACGATTTTTGCTGGAAATTCTAAAAGGCGTAGAGGTGTGAATTTGAAAAAAATATCAGCTTATAGGGAACTATACGATGGAACTTTTTTATATTTACAGTTTATTCGTTAGAACGATCGGTTTCCAGAATAAAAATTCAAAACTTACAACTCCCTTTTCCTGAAATTTAATTACATTTGGAGTGGCGGAAATGGAAAGCGTCGTTAGTTGACAATTACTTGTTTGTACAAATTTTAAATAATATCTGCTTATAGGGGATGATGAGACGAAACTTTTTTATATTTACAGTTTATTCGTACGACGTTTAGTTTCAGAGATAAAAATTGAGAACGTACAAGTTCTTCTTCCTGATATTCAATTTTTCCAACGAATTTTGATCTTTTCAATTTTTATTTTCAAAACTGAAGGTCCTACGAATAAACTGCAAATACAAAAAAATTTCGTTTCATCATCCTTTATAAGCTTATATTTTTAAAAAATTGATCAAACGAATATAAACAAACCTAACCCTAGACCTTCTTCCTGAAATTCAACTTTTCCAACGAATTTTGAACTTTTCAATTTTTATTTTCAAAACTGAAGGTCCTACGAATAAACTGCAAATACAAAAAAATTTCGTTTCATCGTCCTTTATAAGCTTATATTTTTAAAAAATTGATCAAACGAATATAAACAGACCTAACTCAGACCTAACCTAGACCTCTTTCCTGAAATTCAATTTTTCCACCGAACTTCTAACTTTTCAATTATTATCTCTGAAACTAATCATCCTACGAATAAACTGCAAATACAAAAAAGTTTCGTTTCATCGTCCTCTATAAGCTTACATTTTTAAAAAATTGATCAAACAAATATAAACATATCTCTGAGGCCCTTTCTCGAGGGCGTAGGTATACGCCGTTCGCAGTCAAAGGGTTAATTAAACTCCGTAGCACGTTTCAGCCTACCTGTTTCTTGTCGATGCTGTCGAAGCCAGCTATCTTGTTGCCTTTCGTGTCGGTTAGACATCCGACTGGCTCGCACGTAATGACTTCCATGGTCAATTTCGGCAACGGCAACAATTGTCTCACGAATCGAATGCTCGTGGAATTTCGATCGCCGAGTTCCTTCTTCAGCTTTTTCATCAGATTCTGATAATGTTTCTTGTTCTCGTCTTTCTCCGACTGGGAGTCGGATACCAGGGTGGAGTGTATCAGGGTGGCGAGCATGTCGATAACAGTGGTGAACAGTTCCGAGTTATTGTTCAGATCAATGACACCGTAGCTGACCAACTGAACCAACAAGATAGCCCAGTCGGTGGTAGCGGTCGTGTTCCGTTGTATAGTATCGAAAACACCGCCTACGAGGCTGAATCTCAACTGCAGCGCGTCCTGCAACACCTCTCTCGTTTTCGGATCCTCCGTGGCGAAGTTCTTCTCCTCTTTGCTGATATTCAAGAACTGCGACAACTGCGAGTGCAACGACATCAGCAGGCCTTCCCTTTGATCGTCCTGGCCCTTGAGGCAAGTGAGAACCAGCGAGAGAAACGGTTGGTGATTGAACAGCGACGGCGACTTCGATCTGCCTCTCTCGCGGCCCGCCGCTGTCTTGGACCAGTTCCCGGATTCCAATACCTGACCCGCCACCTTGAGAACGCGGCCCTGCACCGCGCTCGGCAGCTTCGAAACGAGCGGCGCTACCAGCCATATAGAACCGGACCGTTTGTCCATTTTGCTGGACAACGTGTTCAATTGGAAAACGTCGATCGCGGCTTTGGCGACCGTGTCCAGCCATTGCGAGAGGTCGCTCGACCCCGGAGAGAATTGTTTGTACATCAACTGAAGATCGAGCCACGACATTCTCAGGCTCCACTGTTCCAGAGTCTCCAGAATGTTCGTTATGTGAGTCTTCTGGTCAATGAACGCGTCCGTGGAGGTTTCCGGGTAGCATATCATGTGGAGTAGCCGTTGAGCTTGTCGATGGGTCAGCATATTGTCCAGGAGCATGTCGGAGTGACAGAGTTCCTCTGGATTTTGCAAGCACCTCTCCAGGACCCATTCCTGGCTACAAATCTGTCTCAGGACGTGTTGCGCGAAGTCCGACAGACCCTTCACGTTCTCCGTGCTCATGCCAGCGCTGCTGCTGGACGAGGACATTGCCAGATCGAGGCCCAAGTCGTCTCCGCCTCCTAAAATGTCGCTGGTGCCTAAGATGTGGCTGATGGACAGCTCGCTGGGTCCACCGGTGCTCACCACGCCTCCCACGCCGACGCTGGCCGGTCCACCCGCTTTGTTCGAGTGATTCATCGGCACGTCCGGTTTCTTCGGTGGTTGTTTGCCAGCGGTCGCGTCAGCGACGACGAGTATGGCTTTGAGCACCGCCAGAACCGGGCCTACTCTGATGTTATTGTGAGCAGCTGCCAATAAATGTCTATCGCAGCTCAGCTTGATGCTGTAGCCTCTCGAGTTGCCATTCGGCAGAGGATGAGGACTCGTGCTCACGGAATAGAGAGCCGGCTGAGGACACTCGACGGTCTTGAAGAGTCTCAATAGCAAGTGACACGTTAAACGCGCTCCGGCCTCGGCCTCCATGTCCGCGTCACCGCGGCCTTCGTTGCAAGCCTTCACCAACGACGGCAGTGCTATGTGCACGACAAAGTCCTCCAGAGAGAAACAGTGCCTCGCTGGAAGAACAAAACACGCTGTTATTATATAATAACCAGTTTAATAAACGGTTTAATAAACAATTTAATAGCCAGTTTAACGAGATACGATTACAAATGAAATTCACCGATTAAGATGGACGTGAATACAGCCAACGAATTATGTATGCTTAAATCCTGCACGTCGACTTGATTCAGGACGTCGATGTAAAAAGCTGAGCTGTTCGAGGAGCAACAGAGAGCCATGAGGACGCCCAGCCACTCGGCGTTGAGCGCGTTGCAGCAAGCCGTTAATTCCGCGCAAGTAATGGCGATGTCGTTCAGTTTGTCGTTGTCTGTTTCGCTGCAGACAGCGACTATAGCGTTGCAGACGAAACTGTAACGATTCGCCGGGGTTTCGTTCAGTTGTCTAGCCCACTGGGGTTCGATCTTCCCACCGCGTCTCGGGCTGGTGAACACGTCCACCATGAACTGAGAGTTGTACACGTGGCTCGACGTAGTCGGTTGCAAGGTGCTGTAGAGAGCCGTACGGATTTTCGGGTAAGCGTTGCTGAACGCTTCGACACCGTGCGGTTTCGTCTTCAACAGGGAACAGGACGAGTACAGGTCGTAGAGATGCGCCAGCACGCATCGTTCGGCTGAGCTGCAGTCGCTGGGATTCGAGACGTGCTTCACGATTTTACAGAGCAAATCGAACACCGCTGTCGTCTGCTCCGGAGACACTGGAACGATTGAATTAGGCGTTAGAGACTTTCTAGTTTGACGTGGTTTGATACTGACAAGAACACTACCTAGCAGTCGACACGACTGATGTATTAGATTGTCCCAAAAGTTTCTTTCTTAAGTTGCATTCAATTATTTTCTGTGGCAGTGTTTATATAAATAGACAATCCAATTTCTTAGACATTGATGCTGTAACAGTAATGAAGCGAAATGAATTGAACACAATTTTGTAATGTAACATAAAACATAAAATATTGTGTGTGCGTTGATTATTAATAAAAGGAAAGAAACTTTTGGGACAGCGTAATATATTTAGTAAGGGAGACACCGCAGTGGCAACTAAGGCGATGCTGGAGAAATATTTCTTTCCAAGTGTCGTCATTTTCTCAAAAATTAACTTTCCAAAAGACTACTGCGTACATTCAAGAAGAATGGAAATAAGCTAGTAATAAGTAAGCATTAGTGCAATAACTTTGTACTTATAATAAGTTACGCACTTTAAATGAATGAATGAATGAATGATTGCGTACATTCAGGTTTTCTTTTCAGGTGAACCACTGCAAAAGTATTCAATAAGAGAAACTTTCCAGAAGACTATTGCGTACATTCAAGAAGAATGGAAATAAGCTAGTAATAAGTAAGCATTAGTGCAATAACTTTGTGCATATAATAAGTTACGCACTTTAAATGAATGAATGAATGAATGAATGCGTACATTCAGGTTTTCTTTTCAGGTGAACCACTGCAAAAGTATTCAATATAGAATGCAAACACAATTTTCCAAGGAGCTCTACTTTACAGTTATGTCATTTTTCCAGAGACCGTAACTGTTTAACCTTAATTGTAAAAGTTATGGCATGAGAATTGATATCTTTCTTTAAATGATTTTGGTTATGAACAACCATTATTGTCAAGGGAAATATTTTTTGGATACTAATAACCATTATTGTCGATGGAAATATTTTTTGGTAACTAATACCTGTTATTGACAATAGAAATTATTTTTGGTTATGAATAACCATTATCGTCGACTAGAATTATTTTTCTGTTACGAATAACCATTATCGTTGACGAGAATTTGTTTTGTTTATGGTATAATTACAGTTATTAGTGACCAAAACAAATTCTCATCAACGACAATGGTTAATCATAACAAAAAAGTAATTCTCGTCGATGATAATGATTATTCGTAACCAAAAATAATTTTTGTCGTCAATAACAGGTACCAGTTACCAAAAAATATTTCCATCGATAATAATGGTTATCAGTAACAGAAACAGATAAATCATAATATTTTGTAATCACTTCATTTCTTTGAAAATTTATGCATCATTTAATAAGCACCGACTTCCATTTGAAATACTTGAAAAATATTTAAAAAATAACTGTTATTTCTGGTCCCTGCATTTTTCAATACAAATTTGTATAAATGTAGGTCAACGTATCCTTGACAACATATCCCTTGCCTTAATCGAAAGGTAATTAATTAATTCAAATAAATTTTCCAACCCTTCGCAGTGGTGTTTCCCCTTGGCAATGCTTTCCCTACAACCTTTCGATTCAACTTCATACTTACACAGTAGACAACAATGGTATCTCCTTAAAACTCCCACAACGTACAGACTCAAGCTGGTCGTATAGCTCCTGATGAGTTGACTGTTTCTAACCGTCAACTGGGCCTCGACTTCTGGTAGTTCCTTCAGAATTTGGATGCAGACGTCTATCAAGCCGTATATGTTCAGGGCTAGTTCCATTAAATCGAATAGGAACGCCACGTGCTCTTGCACCGGTAAATACGACGAGCCAACCAGCGCGAACGCGTTCAACATCTCGATGACTTGAGTCGCGCACTGCCACGTCACCACGTGCTGATCGAAGTAGCTCAAGTTCTGAAACTTCAACGTGATCGCCTCGAAGTTGAACTCGCTACGGGAATGCTTCTTCACTTTTCCGCCTTCGGCTACGTCGATGCTGAATTTCTTTCCGAACAATTTGCACACTTCCTTGGTCATCTTTTTAACGACATGCCTGGCCTCGTCTCTGACGCGTCCCACTCCGTAAAGTAGCACGTGCCGTTGATTACAGTCGTGCTGGCTGCACGTCTCGTCCTTTAAACACATTTAGAACTCTTCAGCGTGTCGCTATCGAGAGAAAAATAAATTCTACTGATTACCTGGGGCAGCGGAAAGTGGGTAGTGTACAACAAGTGTCTACTATGACTCGAGGGCATCTTAGAATCGAGTCCTTCCTGAGTCCCGTGCCCCGCTAGCGCGTCTTCTTTGGGACTGTCCGGGGCATCCATACTGTTCTGTTGGTCTTCTTTAATATGTTGCAGCAGCTTGTCCAAATCATCGTCAATTTTACTATCATCATAATCCATTGTTCGTCCGTGATCTGTTACCTCTAATTTCGCTGGTTTTAAATCTATCCCTGGGAACAAGCTATCCTCGTCGATTGGTTCTCTATTACTTGGAGTTCCGGGTTTGCTGGCTGCTGGACCTAAATTAATTACAAACACGTTGAAACAAACATCTCCAGGACAAGCTAGTCTCAGTTCCAATCAGCTACAGTACGTAGTAGTAACCTAAATGTGAGCCAGCGTACCTTGAATAAGATCTCCCCTGGAGATCAACGTGCACATGTACGCGTCATGCGAGAATACATCGTGCCTAATTAACTCTGAAAATAAGTGAACCAAATTCGTGAACTGAACTTTTGACTGTGCTGGTGTATTGTCTAATACCGGAGCGTCCATGTCCAAGAACTTCATGAGCAACGCTTGAAAGATCGGGAGCACATGCGGATTCCCATTGCTACAGACGCTATCTTTATCGTCATTGTCATTCGTCTCCCCAGTGACGTCGCTCTGCCGTTTCTCGAGCAGCTTAGCGACCGCCATAGCTCTGTGCTCCCCCCATCGTTCGGCGCTCACCGCCCACTCGCACAATATCTCAACCACAGCGGAATCCTGCTGCGGGTTGTACTCGGTTTTCGCGTCCCTTTCGTTCCCGGTGTCCTTCGGGGGCGACGTGAATATCTTAGCGTACAGAGTGTCCAAGGAATTGTTGGAGTCCATTCTGTCGAAGCTGTGCCGATCCAGGGCGTCCAAAGCAGCCAGGACTTTAGTCGTTGTTATCCCAGCGCTGCTCTGCTGCCACTTGTCGCAGGACCATTTGCCTTCGGCGGCCTGGGACCGCGCGCGAATGTTCTCCTGGCCGATCTTCAGCTGCTTCAATATAGGATTAGTAGCGCTCGCGGATGGACACGGTAGAGTCGTTGGAGGATACGATAAATAGTCCAAAGGGGAACCGTTTAGCACGGACGGAGCTTTCCCTTCGCCAACGCTGTTCCATACCAGTGCCGTTGGGCATTCCAATGTGATCACCTGAAAACGAAGAGACAGTTATCGAGGCTACGCGATTTTACTTTCGTATCGTACCTGTATTATCGTCGATAAACTATATATCACGTCTCTGTGATGGGGGCACGACAAGTAGTCGCTGAAAGCAGCGGTCAACGGATTCGGTGTTTGGCTAGCGGCGGCGGTTTCCTTCCCACCGTTCGCGTCGCTCTTATTTATGGACGGACTTTGAGGATTGCCGTTGGCCTCGACGTTGCTGCACATGTGAGCCAGCTTGCGACAGCACAGATACGCCAAACGCCTGGCTAGCAACTCGGACTGCACGAACTCTTCCAAGTATTGCAACGCCAATGGTAACAGAAGCTTCAAGATACCATCTTCCGAAGGGGAAGACTTGATTTTGTCCAACAACTCTAAAATCCACTGCAGCAATTCCTGTCTGTCTAATAAACCTTCTTCGAACATAAACTTCGCCAACTGAACGCAGTAATGCCATTGCTTCAACGCTAATTTGTGCTCCTCGTTCATGGTGTTTCCAGACGGTGTTTGATTATTCGAATTTGGCGTGGCTGGTTGATTGGTAGCGGTTCCGTTGTTACCGTTATTGTTACTGTTGATGTTATTGGTGCCGCTGTTGTTGTTACTGTTGCTGCTTCCAGAACCGTTGCTGTTGCAGGAATTATTCGCGATACCGTTGTTGCTAGCGCTATTCGTCGAGTGGCTATTTATGTAGTAATGTTCTTGTAACTTCGAGAGTTGATCCTTCAAGAATTTTATAAGCGTCCCCGTCCATTCTAAACGAACAAACAAAAACGGAAATTATTAACCGACGTTACTCTGGGCAAATTATATTTTCTCATTCACCTACCCGTAGTTGGATCGGGCAACTGTCTTTTCTTAATCTTAGCCTCCGAAACTGCGACCGTATAAGCCGAGCTGAGTTTAATGAACCAGGCTGCCCTCAGCATGGGTACTTGATACTCGCAGAGCATCATGAATATCTCTTCCTTCTTATTGAAGTTGGGAGCCTTCTTTGCGAGAGCTATCAACGGCTTGCAACCGGAGAGATCTTTGAACCACGCCTCGATGCCGTTTTTCGTCCTCGCGGTTACGGGCCAGAAATTGTCCTTCGGATTGATCTGTTGTCTCTTTCTACCTGTGTCCGGCATCGTAGACAGCTCCTCCTTCTTCGCTAGAATCGCGTTGAAGTACGCTCCCACTTTGGCGGCAGTGACGTTGCAATGCCTCGCTGTTCCGAACTCGTCGGAGAGCTGAGGCATCGTGGCAAATCCATGTTTGACGTTAATAGAGGTGAGCTCGTCCTCTTTTTGTTTAGGTTCTTGGGGATAGACGTCAGGCGGCCCTAGTCTAGGCCGTTTCAGTGGCCGTTTCTCATACAATATTCCCATCATGGTACAAGGAAACTATCAAAATTGATCGCCGGTCATCGACATTACTTCCGTATACGATTAAACGAAACAGTCCTAGAGTTTCGGGCTCATTCTCGAAACTGCGTGAAAAATATAACCTTCGTTAATGACATATTTACAATTACTCAACACCGTCGACCGTAACACGACACTGTCATTACAATCGGATAAGCTTCCAGGTGGTGCGTTACTACTGAAATCGTTAACCTGAAAATACACGAGAATCAAGTTTAGACAACAAACGACATTTACGCGTCTGATTATCGCGTTTATCGATCTATTTAAATAAATTAATACGAACGAATACGTACTTGGATATCGCAACATCTTCCGAATCCACTCTGATGTCACTAGCAATGCAAATTACTCCAATAATACGAAGACGCTGACGATCTGACGAAGGTATAATGACAATCAGTCGACGACATTATCGCTTGATTAAACAATCGATAAATTAAAATAAATAAAATGCTCCGAACACTGTATTTACCATTGGAATGAATACATTATTGCATTGGAAATTTAAAGTGCGAGAATGCAAAAGGTTCCTAGGTTAGTCGTAAAGGATGGACTCTATGAAATCACTAGGAATTTCCCTAGGGATGATTTAAGGGCTTAGAGAAATAAAGTATAGTCTTTATGAAGCCACTAACGATTCCTAGGTTTATTGGTCATGGTTCTGGCACTAGGCATGTCGAGGCAGTTTTCTATGAAACTCACTAGAAATCCCTAGGAATTTATGAACGCCTTAGTAATGTCACGGACCTTTGATCATATACAGGGTATCCTGGAATTATTGCAAGAAACGGAAATGGGGGTAGCTGAGACGATTTTGAACAACAATTTCCTTTGCAAAAACGATGCTTCGTTTTTTAATTATTAACGAAAGACTACCGACCAATCACAGCGCCCGCGTAGCGCGCACTCAGCCGGGAGTGGCTAAACTACTTTTAATGAAACATTGTGCATTTAATTAAAATAATTGTTACACACACCGCGGAGCGGTCAGATTTATTCGAACCCTAGGGTTTTTCCCATCCCTGGAATAATGTAAACATAGGGATAAACTGTATCTCTAGGGAATATTTCGTAGCTAGTAACAAAATAAGATATCGTGTAAAAGATAAAGTCCCTGAAAATGAACAGTGACGGACTCGCAAGTTTCACATCTGATAGATTTGTATAGTTTGTTCTACGAAAGTGTGAAGTTTATTCTTTGTTTTGTCTTTATTTTTTGAAAGTCAAAGTTCTGATGTAAGCAGTATAGGAGTCGATTGTTGTGTTTCGTGTAGTTAGGCGCACTGTCGAGTGCCGCTTCTGTCTATGATTAAAGAGCACGAAACGAACCAAGTAGTAATGACTATTATTAAATAAACATGCGTCAATGTTTGGAGTGCGTCCACGGTTTAATTATTAGTGTTTATAAATAAATGCCGTGTGTTGCATCGTAACATACTTTAATTTATTTGTTAAACTAGGGTAACTAATATGGAAAAAGATGAAGTCATTTGTATCTCATCCGATGATGATGAAGAGACAGCAAAGGTGTGTGCCTGTGTGTGAGTGTGTGGGCGGGGGGTGCTTTGATAAACTGGAGTGTATCCATTTATTTCATTTGTAGCTTGTAAGCTCTGAATGGTCTGTTACGATTTCATTTTCTAGCGTTAAGAGCTTCAAAAATTATATCATTAGCTGTTGCAGAATGAGAGCAATGGAAAAGGAGCATCCAAACAGACGGAAAACCTGGAAGATTCTCAGATGAAAGTGGAAGTTGAAGGAAACAACAATGAAAAGGTAGCAACCTGCGGAATAAAACGGAGCGTGTCTGATATGAACGACAGCCCCGATGCGGATTTCCAAAAGACTGCGAAAGTATTCGTATGCGAACGAGATTACAAAGCCCGATCGCCTACAGCAGGACAGAGCTCCGACGAGCACACAAATGTGCAAGAGAACGGAGCAGAAAGTCAGATACCAAAACCAAAACTGATCGTAAAAGAGAAGAAAGTATGCCCTCCTGTGGCGCAAGACATATTTCCTATGTTCCTTAGCTTATGTTTGCACAAAGATCGTTCAGACGAGATGAAAGTAATTACTAATAGGCTAAAGAGACGTTACGAACAGCTAGATCCTGCTTACGCCAATTCCGAAGCTTTTCTTACGTTCTTGAACGAAAAAAGAAACGATATCATGAACAAAACTCAATTGTATGTACATATTATAGAAGTAATGAACGTCATGAAAAGTAATCGTAAAAATACGTCCTCTCCGTTATTAAATGGCAGCGATCAAAATGCTGGCTGTTCGAATTCGGATGCTGTGAATAATAACGAAGACGAAACGGAGCAGGACGAATACGCTTCTTCGCCGAAGAGAAAATCGATTAAAAAATTGTTAAAGGCGATGAAACAGTGCGAGAAGGGTATAAAGAAACTGGAAGAATCAGAAATCAATTTCGATGAAGAAAACAATAGTAGTTATATGAAATTAGAGAGGTACAGGTATAGAATGGTGGAACTCTACAACAAACTTTGCGAATACACTGGAGAAAATGCTGACGCAGGAAGACAATACCTACGGCCCAAGCATCTCAGCACGACTGGAATCGTTGCTGTCGATCACGCAATCACGAGTTTCATCAACTCCAAAATATCTAAGAGGAACAAACTCAAGAAAGTTGGTGCTTTCGCAGACGCACTGATTTTTCCAGACTACAGTGACATTTTACAGTGCGTTGCGACGTGTAACGAGTCGCGGCAATTAGGACTGGATAACAAGAAACAGCAACAACTAGGTTAGTAGATCGAATTATCAAATATAAGTTTGTGTTTTTTCTTTTTTTTACCTACGGTTCGTTTGTTACAGCGAAGAAGGCGTTTACAGAATTGGGAGAGTATCTCCAACGCTCTCGACGCAACGACTACTGGGACACGTTTTCTCTGTTCTTGGAAAACTCGGGAGACGATGATCCTGCGTTGAAGGATCCCGAGTTGGCTCAAAAATTAATGCAGAACAAGAAAGAGGGCGAAAAAAGATTAACGAATGTGTTTCAGGAGTACGTGAAGAAACAGGAAGAGATGAAGGATGATGCAACTGACACTAAAACGTCGTCAGAAAATGAGGAAGACGTAGAGAATAGTAGCGATAGCGATGAAGAAGATACTGACAACGAAAATATGAAAGATGATGTCAGTTCAAGGTTAAATAAGGATAAATCTATCGCAGATGAAGATGAAACGAGTCTAGACAATGCTAAAGTAACTGCTAAACGTAACACAGAGACAGCCGATAAAAGCAGTAAAAGTATAGACAGAGCTGATTTTGACATTATGGATGTAGACGATGCCAGCGATAAATTGAAGGATGTCAATGGTGACAGTTCGAAAGCAACAAACAGCGTAGCAAACATTCCTAAATGTGTAAGGAATTCCGAATCACAAGCAGCGAGTAAAGACGATACCACTAAGCCTTTACCTAATTTAACGTTATCTACTAATGTGGATAATGAAATTCTTATCCACAAGACAAAAGGTATAAATATCGATGAAACTTAATCATCGATTAAGGGGGGGAAATAGGTTTAGAAAAGAATGTATGTAATTTAATGAAACTTTGAGAACAATTTATACATATATTCAAGTAAATATTATAATTTTTTAAAAGTATTTACTATGGAAGGTATCAGTTGCAACCTTTTGGAGGTTATCCGCAAACGTAGCTGGTTTGCGTACATTCTGGAGATCACAGTTTTCATCTGAAATCAACAGGGATTTAAATTTACTTTAAAGACATGTCTCTCTTCTATAAAAAGAATCTTTTTATTTTATTTTTATTTTTTTATTGGAAAAAACGTTATAGAAAAATGACAAAAAGTTATGCTCTTTGAACGAGATTTGAGGTTTGAACACCTCTAAAGATGCAATATTCAATTTTTTAAGGGGGAGTTCAGGTTCATATAGAAGAAAGACATGTCTTTAAAGTAAATTTAAATCCTTATTGATTTCAGATGAAAACTGTGGTATCTGGAATGTACACAAAACAGCTAAGTTTGATGGTGACCTCCGAAGGGTGGCTCGAATATATGTATAAAATGTTCTCAAAGTTTCATTGAGTTATATACATCCCTTGCTAAAAAAAAATGCATGCGAATCACCAAATAGACTTAGTCCTAAATCTATCTCCCTCCTTAATCATCGATTAAATGCAAGAAAGTGTTTTATGAAAGATTTGATGTACGTGTGATGTAGAAGACGAGGCTAATATCATAAGAGAAGAAGAGTCAACGGATAACGTACGATTAGAAGAAGAGAAGCCACTGTTGCGGGTACGGTCTTTCGCTAAGCCTCCTACAACATGGGCGGACGTGCACGAGAAAGCAGACAAGTCAACGATAGGCCACGGTACGGTGATCAACAACGGGATCGTAGATCTCACAGGGGAAACGCTGAATCAAAATTCGAACCTCGCTAAATGTAAAACGATTCAAATAGGATCGAAGGTACTGCCTCTCGTGAAAAGTAAGTTCAAGACGTTGGTCATACCGGCAGGTAAAAGTATAATTAAGGTAAAAAACATAACAAACAATTACGTGAGACTGAATTCGCAAGATATCGATTTGAGTAATGCAGCGAAATTGCAGAAAGGTCAGGCTATATCATTGCACAAAGTAGTCGATAGAAACAGGGATTCGACGATCGTACATCTTCAATCTAATAATCAGCAGTCGAACGCCGGTAATCAGGCGAAAAATTTGCTAACGAAACAAAACGGTCCGATCATACGAATCCCTCCGCCTGGCCAAACTATATTGTTGACCGCGAAGCAAAAGGAAAGCTTACAGTCTTTGACAGCGAATTCGTCTAAATCCAAGCCTACATAACTTAACGAAAAGTCGACTGTCGTTCATCTTGATCATTGTTACGCGAGCTCGTTTGGAAATGATAGATGATCGACCATTGTTGCGCGATATTAATTGTAAATGATGGACGGTCGATCGTCTTTAGTAGATAAACGGATAATTTTGTACACATGAATTGAAACTTAACAACACTGTACCAGTACGTTGATATGTTGTATGTAATAAATTTTTCATGACCCACTGAACCATTATGAAATTTTTATACATGAGAATATTATTTATAAATTTCACTTCTCAAAACTGTACGACTTGATGTTATTTATTTGCGTACTTTTGCCCTTGTTAGTCGCGAGTTATGTTATTCAGTAAGGCCTTTGTCAAGGCGAATTCTGGATCGGTGAGCCTCTCTACGATGTCGAAGTGATCGGTATTTTCTCTGAGTAAAATATACTCAACGTCGTCCACCATTGTAACCAGTTTCTAGAATCGAAATAGGGTGAATTAAACAGGTTCGATCTTAAAAGGAGCGAGTGCGAATTACCTGGGCACATTTACGCGATTCATCGATGAACGCTGGAGTATCGCATTCTCCATCGGTTACGATGACTTTCAATCCCCGTATGGGCTTGCTCTTTGTCGTGTCGACGATGGTAAAACTATACGCGTCGATGTCGGCTCTAAAACATGTAAAATTTTGTAATAAACGTGACAAGCAGCGCGGTAACCACGATCTATGAATATAGATAGTTGATAAAAGAGCAAGACTCACTGCGTAAGCTTTAGAGCATCGTTAATAGTAGTACCAAGAAGGGATTTCAAATCAAAGATACCACCTATTATGACGATACCTTTCAACAGACTCAAATGTCCCTGTTCTGTCATTCTATTCAGCCACGATTCATCGAATAAAAGACTAGCTGCCAAATGCGCGCCTGCACTGTGACCAGCGATCCATACACTCCTATAGGAATCCATTTGTTTCATTATAATCTTCATTGAAATCTTTAAGTCGTTCAGAAAATATTAGCAGGTACACGTACCTACTCTTTTGGTTCGAAGGAGACTTCAATATCTCTTCGACTGCTATTTTGATCTGCGATACTATATCTCCAAATTTAACTGTAACATATACCATTTATGCGATATCAACTTTACACACCGATAACAGATGAAATGATGTGAAACTTACCCTGTGGACACAGATCGTAGCCAACAGTTATAACTTTGATTCCATTCGCTACAAAAACTGACGCAGCAACAGCAGATATGTCTTTGTTACCTTCTTGCCAATATCCACCGTGTATGAATACAAATATCGGAGCATCTGGAATGAGCAGCGTTTACTTAATATTTTCAGAATGTACTTGTGTGCATAAAAATTGGCTAATTAACTTTACTATGTTATATTTACTATTAGAATAACGTATTTGTTTACGTATGTACCTTCAGGTAGATCTGTTCCATATATATCGTACTTAGTTCGGTCTGTAGGTCCATATGGAATGTCAAGTTTGCACTTGAGGGTTTTACGAGCCTTCTTTGTGGCTGTAAGAATAAATTGTTAGCAAATCCCTCGAAAGAAGACTATTACAGTAAATTAAACTACAGGTCCGAGTTACCTTCTGTAATAAATTTGTAATGATACTGCAGTACTTCTACGTGGCCAAATCTCTTGCTCCACATGCTGGGCGTATAGTTCGCCTCGTGATTCTACATAAAAAAAGAACAGCGTAACCTTTAATGCAGAGCTAAGAAAGATTGTATTCAAAGGATGCAAGATAAGATCAAGATAAGATCAAGATAAACCATCTTATCCTTAAAAAAATGAGTCCAACTACATCTGTGAAGAAAATTTTTTATACCGACCAAAAAAAATGTAAATAAAATGTAATAATTTGTTGAAAATTCGAATGAATATTCGACGAGTAATTAATAAAATAATAGAACTTATTAATATTAGAATTGTACCTTTGTATCGCGTGAGAAATGAACCTTTGATACGTACCGAGACCGACATTTTCGTTAAATAACTGTGCTAGAGTAATTTTTGGATCCTTAACTGGCTGCCAAAGACTTACTAGAAGGTCTACTAGTCTCGTTGTGCTTTTATTAACAAGTTGATAGTAGTGGGAATGGCGATGTTGACGTGTAATTGGTTAATTCTGTAAGAAGTAGTGTCATGGAGAGGTTCACATTCAGAATTTTCCTGTATGGGTTGTTGATTACTGTATTACCTAGCAGATTCTATCAGACCTTGGTTCACAGGTACTCTAAGTTCATTCATTGGCTGTTCCTGTTACCATGCCTTAAATAATTTCAGCTTTGTACTTCTATAAACATAGGGTAGAAGTTGCACGATAGGAAAGCGTTATATAAACAGCATCGTTACATAAACGGCAAAAAGTTTCTGAATTTTTACAGAAATCAGTTCTTCGATAATCCAAAATCCTTTTTATGGAAGCAGAGAAGGCGGTGCATAGATATGTTCGAAAGACTAGTGCATTCCCTTGCTTTCGACAAAAAGAACTTCTGGTCTGTAGAAAAACTAAAGTGCTACAATTGTGCCTAGCATCTTAATCGAATCTTGCATCGATTATTTTACATTCAATGCCAATGCGAGTCGACTAAGAAGTCAGCCTCCGCAAAGGATGAAACGTGTCTGTTGAAGATTTACATAGTTTATCGTGAGCTCGCAAAGAAGGTAGCGAGAATGGGATACGGTTGGAGAGATTGAAAACCAGAAAAACCGGTCCCACTCTTCCGTGACGCGCCACCATTCTCTATAGAGAAGTCACAGGTAGATGGTAGACCCGTAGCAGCTGATGTATCGAATATCGTGCCACGTCGACGCTTGCCCGCAGACCACAGGTAAGAGAAACCTTTCCCAGTCAAAAATTCGCCGGTTCGACGAGCACGAGGTAGCCAAATCCGAATAAAGGAATTATTGGCGCCATCTTTACCTCCAAACTCGCGTTCCGACAATCTCCGGATCTTTTTCTAAAATTGAAAAAGAGATTTAGACGCTTATTTACACAAGTGTGTAAATAAAAATGCAAGCGCAGACCGAAGAAAATGCTACAAATGTGCGATCCATACGGTTTCGTCGAATCCGTAACAAAACGATAATAATCTTATGTAATAGATACGTGAAACTAAGATAGCCCCTCGCGATAGCCATTCTCGGTTTACACATCTCGCAACCGATTCTCGAGTGCACACCGGGTTAATTTATTTGACCCAACGACTACGCCCGCTTCCAATTAGTTTTCACGGAATTAACCGGGTATCTCGCATTTGCCTACGACGAAATTTACAACAGTTTTCTTTAATTCCGCTATTTATATTATTCTACTCTCGCTGAACTCTACTCTGAGCTGTTTACATTGTAGGTACGAAACGCGTTGCTATGACGATTACAGTATTATCGCATCGACTAGTTCCCACGCGTGGGAGCATTCCTTTCCCAGCCTAAACCTACCATCAACGAGTTCAATAGCAAGTACTTAGCAAGGGAAACAGTAATACGATAACTATGCTAAGGAAAAGCTGTCGAAAAAACTACTTGTACTTTCAAGTCTGAATATAGAAAACGTCGAGTTACTCGAGTAACGCGTTTCTTCCTTTAAATTCCCACGATTCTTCGAAAGTTTCGCCGTTGTTGGTAATATTCTCGTTTGGCTCTGCCTGTATAGTTTCACCTCCAGACAGTGTGAACGATCCCTGAAACCGAGGAGATTTTCTTAAAATTATGTTATAACACGTGAAAATGTAAAAGTGTATTTAAAACAAACAAGAAAAAAAAAAAAAATATAACCGATCCTGCCAGGATTCGAACCTGGAATCTTCTGATCCGTAGTCAGACGCGTTATCCGTTGCGCCACAGGACCAACTTGGAATAGTTGTTTTATTACGAATGATATTGGGAGATCCAAAGAACTCTTTCTCAGTTTACCAGCCTTTCGGAGCAGTTGGAGCATCACTGGAACCTGGGGAATGGAGAACATCGATTATATTCAAAAGTTGTGAACATTTGATTCAAGAATTAATATATGTACATGTACAGACTGTTTTGTTTTACTGGTGTATCCTATTTCACCTATTTCGTCAAATATGCTCGAGTCGAAGTCTAGATTCACGAATGATTTATTGATCTATTATTGACTAGTGGATGCAACAGTCACGATAAAGCTGAAATCTGAAATGTCAATCGTTGTATCAGAGAACGTTGGGTTGTTGATCCTTTTCGAATTGTTTCGTACATTATAGAAGCTGAATTAATAATGGTAGCTTGTTAATAGACTAGCGACCACTGCTTTGTTGTCTACAAGGGAGATTGTATGCTCCCATCGTTGTATGAATTTCGAAATATTGAGTTATAGGATTTAGGGATTTTGATAAAGATATTTCTCATGTGATCTAGAATATAGATTCCAGATCGTAGGATATCGGTACGAATTACATCGGTCGACCCTGTCACGACGAAAGTCGAGGAAACAATGTGCCACCGCGCAACGACGTCGCGCAGTGCCTCGCGTAACACAACATGGCCGCCACTCGCGCATGCGCGCTGCGTCTAGCGTCAGGGAAGTATCTAGCGCGAAGAATGCCCGAAGTATAAAAGAATTGGAAATATCTATTCGTTGTTATTTCTGAAAATGTTGTAACTGTAATGATAAAATAAATACAAGTATCAGTAGAACAAGTTAGTGTAAGTTAGTGTAAGTTATAATCAGTCAGGGATAATAAGAAAAGGGTAGAAAATAAACGATAGTTGACGTTCGATCCTACTTTACGGATGAGAGATGCTATAAAAGGAACAATTAGATGGAAGATTAATATCTTCCGAATAAAATAAATTCTTATATAAAATTCAATGTTTGTAGCCACGTTCGCGAATATTTTATTTTGCATAAGGATCCACAGTCTGTTGATTACATTTAAAAGCGAAAAACGAAACCAGAATGCTTCCCAACTATAAAAAAAGATCGATGGTGGTACGATCCGTACCGGATCGAAGTGGCTGGAAGTACCGTAAGAAAAAGAAGACCGAGCTGAACTGGCCACGTACCGTTTCCTCTAGGTACGGTCCTGGTTGCGCGAGTCGGCTCCGGGGCCGACGGTGGGCGATCGCGCACGAATGTTCCGAAGCCGCCGCGAGGAAAAGTGGGGTTAGGTTGCAGCAGAGGGAGAGGAGTTTTCTCGGAGCGAAAAGAGGGGATAGAACATCGGTGTGGAGCAGAAGTAAACGTATAGTTCTTTGTCCCCGACGAAGCCGTGCGAGGAAGGAGTAAGCGAGACGGTGCGAGCGGTACGTGGAGAAAGCGAGAGAGAGTTAGCCGGCGACGAGCGAGCCAGAGAGAGACAGGTAAGTAGAAAGGAACGCGCAACTCGTGGAATGCCGTGTCCTCGCGTGCTCGTGTCGTACATACAACGTATCTGAACGCAGCCATTACGGGTCGACAGAACCGTTCTCGGTGACGCTATGCCACAGTAAGAGCCGTGCTCACGCGCGCAGTGATCGTGGAAGAATCGGTACGGGATACACGTGTGTTTTCGCGAATCGAACGAGACCGAGAGTGAAGAAGAGCCTCGATTGCTGGTGTTGAAAAAATTTTTGTAAGTTTGTTCTCGTGCGCGTATTCGGGTTACGGGGGTTCTCGGCGCGCGGCGTCGCGCGGACGTACGATCGCTGATTGTTGATTCCAAGTAGCTCCAGCACACAGCTGACCGAAAAATACTCGTTGTTTACAGAGTAACAGGTTAAAACGCAACAATGTTCGACGTATTCGGCTCGGTGAAGGGACTGTTGAAGCTCGACGCCGTGTGCATCGACAACAACGTGTTCCGGCTCCACTACAAGGCGACGGTGATCATACTGATCGCCTTCTCGTTGCTGGTCACGTCCAGACAGTACATCGGTGACCCCATAGATTGCATCGTGGACGAGATACCTCTCCACGTGATGGACACCTACTGCTGGATCTATTCGACGTTCACCATCCCGGACCGGACCGGGATCGTGGGCAAGGACCTGGTGCAGCCGGGCGTAGCGGCCCACGTCGAGGGCGAGGACGAGGTCAAGTACCACAAGTACTACCAGTGGGTGTGCTTCACGCTCTTCTTCCAGGCGATACTGTTCTACGTGCCACGGTACCTCTGGAAGACCTGGGAGGGGGGCCGGATCAAGATGCTGGTCCTCGACCTGAACTGCCCGGTGATGAGCGAGGACTGCAAGGTGGAGAGGAGGAAGCTCCTGGTCGACTACTTCGTCAGCAACCTGCACACCCAGAACTTCTACGCGTTCCGATTCTTCCTTTGCGAGGTGCTGAACTTCGTGAACGTGGTGGGCCAGATATACTTCATGGACTTCTTCCTGGACGGGGAGTTCACCACGTACGGCTCGGACGTGATGAAGTTCACCGAGATGGAGCCCGAGGAGAGGATCGACCCCATGTCGCGCGTCTTCCCCAAGGTCACCAAATGTACGTTCCACAAGTACGGTGCGTCCGGGACGGTGCAGAAGTTCGACGGGCTGTGCGTGCTCCCGTTGAACATCGTCAACGAGAAGATCTACGTGTTCCTCTGGTTCTGGTTCATCATCCTGTCGGTGCTTAGCGGGCTGACCCTCGCCTACCGTGCCGCGGTCGTCGCCGGACCGAAGCTTCGTCTGGTGCTGCTGCGCGCCCGGTCGCGGCTCTCGCCCCAGGACCACATCGAAACCATCGCCGAGAAGTGCCAGATCGGCGACTGGTTCGTCCTCTACCAGCTCGGCAAGAACATAGACCCGCTGGTTTACAAGCAGCTCGTCTCGGACCTCGCCACCAAGCTCCAGGGAAAAGAATCCGTCTAGTTCTAGTTTCGTTCCTTTATTTTCGCATTTTTCGATACCCTCGGCCCCGCCTACGCACATCCGGTTTCGAACAGAAATTGCAGCTGGGTCGGAAGGGTCGGTGTCTCTTCGTTCTTACTTCGGTCGGCGCGACGGTGACGGGGAAACTTTCGGTCGAACAACTATCGCACAACTGTCGAACGATTTATCTATCTACAGGGTGTCTCAAACATTTTGTAACACATTGAAAAGGCTGGTTCGGGAGGTGATTTGAAACAACTTTTTCCTTAGCGAAAATGTTGTCCGAAGCTTCGTTGAGGAGATATTAACGGACAAACATTGACCAATTAGAGCGCGAGGAGGCCGGTGGAGCGCCCGCGGCAGCGTATGAGCGCGGCCGCCTAGCGCGTAGCCACGCCTACTGCGGGCGCTCCACTGGCATCCTCGCGCTCTGATTGATCAGTGTTTTTCGTTAATATCTCCTCAACGAAACCTCGCACGACATTTTCGCTAAGGAAAAAGTTGTT